CTTTTTGAGGATCATGGTCTAACGAGTAGGTTTGGTTATGCTGACGATGTAGCTATTGTCAGAATTGGAGACACCGCGGCGGATGCTATCTCCGCAGCTCAAGACGACCTCGACAGCCTTATCCTTCTCGCAAGAGAACACAGAATCGATTTTGACCCAGCAAAGTCAGAACTTCTAGTGACCGGAGGAGGGCCTAGAAAGAAAATCAACGCGGCTGATCTTTCCATCTTGGTGAAAGATCGCCGGATCGAACCGTCACCTTATATCCGGTGGCTAGGAATCTGGCTTGATACCCAGCTAAACTTCAAGCAACATGTATAGGAATGGACTGGAAAAGCTAATCGTCTAGTCTATTTCTTACGACATATAAACGGAGTTCAACGTGGTGCAGCACCCGGACCTCTGATTCGTGCGGTACATGCATGCGTCCTGAGCACAGCTCTATACGGGGCAGAAGCGTGGTGGCCAGGTCTCACTCGAATAACCACACTGCGAGATAAAGAAGTCGGCACTGGAGTAGGCTGGCACATATCTCTATTGGAAAAAACGATAATGAAAGCTATTAGAGTAGCACTCCCAGCGTGGCGTACCACTCCCAATGTTGCTCTTCATCGTGAAGCGGGAATACCCCCGGCATCGATAATTCTTCAGCAAAAGATGCTGCGGTCTGCAGCTCGTATGCGAAGAATGGATGCCTGGCACCCTCTAGCCATTCGGGCGGCTGAGGATCCGAAAGAGACAATAAGACGCTTAGGTCTTAGATCGGGACAAAGAAATCGTTTGTTTAGACAACCAGAACGGTACATGACACGCCTACAAATGAGTGTGCGTCGAGTTCCGACAGCCGAAGGCCCCGGAAAGCTATACTTCCCACGTGGCACTCCAGCATCGATTCTATGTAGTCGAGAAAATGAAGCTAGGTCTGGAAGCATAAAGCGGTGGTTAGCTTCCCGCCCAGCTAACACAGTCTTCGCTTTCTCTGATGGATCATCATCGGGTCCCGGAAAATCATCCTGGGGGTATGTAGTATACCAAGGAGGCAAGCTAGTTACAAGTGGCTCCGGTCCACTTCCCGGAGCAGAGGTATTCGATGCAGAAGTTGTAGGTGCTATGAAAGCCTTGAAGGCTGCAATAGAGTTAGGAAAAGACTTACTGATCTGCATTCTTCTTGACAACCAAGCGGCCACCCAGGCGCTCGAAAGAGGAAGATCTAACTCCTCGCAGTCGGTGGTGGACAAGTTTTCATCGCTGAGACACAATAAGCGTGTGGAAATACGCTGGATACCCGGGCATGTAGGGATTCAAGGCAATGAAGAGGCCGATAAGCTGGCCAAATCGGCCTTGGGAGCTTCCAATAACCGGTCACTAACCTCAGCTGCGCCCATTCTAGAAGATCAAGATCAGACATTTGCGGCATTAGGGAGGTGGGTTAAACAGCGTAGCCAAGAGCTCGTGGAAGAGTGGTGGCAGAAGTATCGACCGAAACGATACAAAGATCTGGACCTATTCATGCGTTGCAAAAGACCACCGGAACTAGCTTTACCAAGATGGGCGTACCATCGTCTTATTGCGGCAAGAACAGGCCACGGGGACTATGCCGACTACTATCGACGTTTCAACCCCGAACATGAAGATCTGAAATGCGTTTGCGGCCGAGAGAAAAGGCCCTGGCATTTTTCAGAGTGCCGACCTGCTTTGCTACGTTGGAGAATCTATGAGAAAATGGCCCCACCTGGGGCTAGGGAAATGATAGGGGAGAAGGGATGGCAGAAGTTCATTCAATTCTTAACTACAAGCCGATGTTACAGTCTGCCGAAGAATGAACAGGGTGGGAGGTGACCACGCTGAGATTGTTTCTGACCCGAGAGTAGATGGGTGTGGAAGATAGGGATGCGGCGCAGGGCACCGTAACTCAGACACATACTGTTCTTTTTTTTTTCACTCTTTTCTTTTGTCGCTTCTGGCTCCACTGCCGGTCATGTAGGTAGCAATGAGCTTTCAGAGCCCATCTACCCGTGTCACGTCTAAATAGATGTTAGGTTCTTCCTGTCACGTAAAAGATTTCAAATTCAAATTCAAAATTCAATTTGTGCCCTTGTTTTAGGCCTTGAAATCCAGGACAAGAATTGTGTACCCTGTCGAACTATGCGCTGACAGGGGTCTCTCTCCTGGAGCGAATATGCGCCCCATATTTATTCCACTGAAAACTTGAAACCGAGGCTACAGAGTACATGTCACCCATCGCACTCCTGCTGGGGCTTGAGCTCGAGTGGGGTCAGGCCGGATCAGGTAAACTACCGTGAAGTACATCTAAACCTCGTCCCACCCAGATAACAAAATCATCTCATACTTCACCTATGTACTGAATAATACCAAGGAGGGCAAGACGGAACACCTGTACGCGGTGTCCTCTACAAACCTGGAGGTCAAATATTTCCACAGAGCCAAGTTCAGTCAAATTTCGCAAAACCGAACAAGTTGGCCCACGAGGCAAGGATTCAAACTCTCCACCACGTCAAATCTTCACTCCCAGAGAGTCCGATTCCTACCTAAGCCTCATCAAGCCTACAAGTACGACCTAGTACATCCTCATTCCAATGACCACACTTTTCTTCAACCTTCTCGGGCCTCAGTCGACCAAGTACACGCCCTCGTCGATATCAATACCCGACAGAGGAAACAAAGCGTGGCGCACAAATCTGGGAGACTGTTCTTTGGTATTGGCATGAGAGTATTCAGGACAAGTTCACAAGATGATGTGAAGGATGAATACAGTCTCGACGGGTGGAGAATTTTGAATTTTGGCGAAGAGTTTTTACAAGCTGAGCTTTGTGCGTGCCAAGACTTCGGTTGCGAGAGTGCAGGCGACACTATAAACACCGCCATGGTTGGATGGTGCGGTGGTACATCGTCTTGGCCGCTCTGCCGAGTAGAGTCTGGATAGCTTGGACACATATTCCACTTGAGACAGTAGATCGCTGGTTCAAATCCGGCAAAACACAACCACATTTCTCGCGGCGATGGTATGCATGGATGACGAAGGCATGCTTGGATAACCAAAGGTTTTGAAACGTCCCTGTGGTGGGCACTTACAGAGGAGGGTCGACTGTTTGTGTGAGCAAACATACCTCATAGCAGTATTTGCGAATGAAATACAGAGTATGAGTGTCTCTAAAGTCAAAAGAGTCATCCAACATGTATACCTAGCACCGGTCATGTGTTACAGCTAGATAGCTGAATACACATTAAATAATAAAAAAAAAAGAATCATACCAAGCCTGACCGTCCAGAAACCCGCTATACACACGCCGCAGCGCAAATCCCTAAGCCTCGCCCACCACGCTTCCGAGCCCTTGACACCCTCATTGATTCCAAAATATAAATACCGTCCAAGATCTCATCGTTGCTCTAGCCTTGCACCTTCATATCGTACCATTGGGTTGTTGTAGTCATCGGTGATTTGTGCGATCCCCTTATTGTATCTTGCCTTTTCTTCCTCCTTTGTACACGTCCTGCTTCCATCATGACTTTCCTCAATAGGACGTATATAGGTAGGTGATGAGTTTTGGTTCGACCTTCTTGCGGTTGTGAAATTTCTGTCGACTGAATTTCCAACCAAACTACCAACTACAACTCCTTCAGGCCGAAAATCCATCAAATGGAAAATTCGTCCCACCCTTTTAAGTGTCTGAATCTGGGCTATGGGTGAATTTTTCACTCCCAGGTTCGTAAACGCCACTGATGGGTGTTCAGCCTTCGTCCTCCACGAGTGAGGCAGGTGTCCAGGCTACCCAGACTTTAATTCGGGGATATGACGACCAGGAGGTGGACCATAACGCCTCACATACTTTCCTGTTTTTATAGTGTCGTTAGCACCATCTATGATCGTTGCCTTGGAGCCCATAGATACCCTTAAGTCGAACACACTCGATAATTGTGAGTCCCAGAATGCCCATTTGTGACCTCTTTACTCGTTCGTCCCAAGGGGGACTATTCTCAACATCTATCAGAGGTGTCCCCTACGAACCTCCAACTCTCACTGTAGAGTCTGCAGATCCGAGATTGAGTAACAAAGTCCTCAATTCGACGAGGATTCCCAATCGCTTTCGCCGTCTGTATCGTCTTCATCTCTCCACACATTCCCATATCACCATTAACATGAAACTAACCACGATCAGATCAGATGTTAGGGGCGAAGCTCTTCTTATCACCAACCCTTGATCATGAAAGAAAAGCCATCCGATGAGTTTCCGGAGCGTACCCAGCACCCGATACGGAGATGGCGGATTGGATCAAGTCGACCTCGACTGTTACAAAGAAGGGAGATGTAGATGAATATGCGCACCTCATGTGGTCCCGGTGTCTAGGCCTCGCCTGGCTGGGGCTGCAGGTTTTTTGAGACTTTTTCCTGTGCACGCAGTTTCCATTGCTACCATTTTTTTTTTTTTTTTGGGTAGAAGGTTCCGTGGAAAAGGTGGCTGAATTCCACGGGTAAATACTGAGCTGAACGGCTATTCATCACAGGCAATATATATCAATGATTTTTCAAGTAACAAAAGAGGATAGGAGCACTGTACAAGGTGTAGCCTGGGTCAGAGAGGAGCCCAATGTGCTAGATAGTCATAGACTCAAGTAGCACGATAAACACAAACACACACAACACACACACCAAAATTGTGTATGCAGCTATATGACCGGTTTTCGATAAGGCAGATACCCGATTGCAATTGGAGTAATGTCATTATCGGCAATCTAGGCGATGTGGTGTGGCGATATTGAGGTTGAGGCCTTGCGTAAAAATGGTAAGTCCGATATTGACGAAAAGTCATCGGTTTTACATACAATTGAGATTGCTTTCGACTTCAATTCGGTTGCAATTCTTGGATATCCCAGACATGCTGAGCTTACTGGGCGATTACACTTGCACCACTGTATGGTGAAGAATTCGTCTTTGCCGGCACGGATAGCATTACCATTACGTTGTATCAATTTTAAAAATTTTACATTACTTCTTCTGGCTCTAATTCTGTCTTTTTGAAATCCCTAGGCCTGACGCCCATCTCAAATAGTCTCTCTATTTCCCTGAACGTCCTACCTTTCGTTTCGGGATACCACCACCATATACCAACACAACTCGCGGCTAATACTGTACCATATACAAAAGCTACCCTACCACCTAGATTACCTGCGTCTGGATTGACTGCAAATGGTAATAGAACGCCCCCAATAGCACCAACAACGCCTTGCGTGACAGTAGCAAGTGATTGAGTGTGTCCGCGCAACGAAGACTTCGACACTTCGGAAATTATAGGCCACGATACCGAGCCAATAGTTGACTGGAAAAGAAATGACCAGACTCCCATGAAGAGCACCTGCGCCCATATGCCCCCAGGTACTAATGAACTGATTCCGATCAGAAAAAGAGAACCTGACAGCGAGATAGAGCCATAGAGTGCTGTGTTTCGTCGCCCGAAGGCTTCCACAAAATACCAACCAGCCATATTACCAATGAGAGAAAGAAAAGAGAGCCCAACCGTGGCATTAAATGATTCGGGAACGCTGAGCCCACCAAGTTGTAGGAAATAAGCCATGTAACCGATTATCCAGGAGACACCACTGACAGATTGGACAAAAAACGTCGATATAGCGATCAAAGTCCGCAGCCTATTTGTGCCGCGAAAACATTCCTTGAAACTAGCTTCAGATTCTACTTGCGCCTGAGAGTCCAGATCTAATTGAATCATAGCAATGTAGCCGTCAACGTCAAATTTGTTATCATGGAGCCTGTACGAATTTTTTCTCGCCTGTATTATCCTACCTCCAGCAACTAAATGATAAGGACTCTCGGGAAACCAGTAAAGAAATACTAGGGCGACTATGGCGAATGGCCATTGGATTGCGAATAATGTTAAATAGGCATTTTTTCCTTTAAAATTTTGAGTTTGTTGAAGTGCAACATAGGCCATACATTGACCGAGAACTATAGACCAGTTTACAGCAGATGTGACTGCACCGCGAAGAGCCATGGGGGCAATTTCGGCACAGTAAGTTGGAGCAATAGTAATGAAGACGCCGAGGGGTACTCCTGTGAGAAACTTCCCACCGCATAAGAGAAGAAGGTTGCCAGGCGAGAACCATTGAAGAAAAACGCCAACAATTGTAAACACTAGAAGGTTAGCTGATCCTACTATTTGATTAAGATGGGAGTAAATTTACTATATGAGATAAGAAGACAGGCTTGACGGCCCCACAGCTTTGCGACTAGTCCAGCGCCTATCCCTCCGAGCAGGAAACCGATAAGAGAACTCCCTGCTAATCCTAGTTGCCATATAGGAGATATTATGAATTGGTCTCCATAAGATTTGCCGTAGTCTTGTCTAAATTGTGGGATAGAGAGGACAATCTAGATATGTCAGTATGAATGTGGTAAAAATTATTAGGAGATCGTTACGTTACTTGCAAGTCCATCATAGCCCCACATAACACAAGTAAATAATGCATAGCCGCCTTCTTAGTATTAGATATGTTCAAAAAGTAGTTTACTTCCGAGTACTTACACCACGCTAAAGCCTTCGGGTTATTCTTGATCGCCTCTACCCATGTCTCTTGAGCTTGGGAATCGTTGTAACCTTTAGCCATCTGACCACGACTAGAGCCATGATAATCAGATTTGAGATCTTGTAATTCGCAATCTATATTGTTTCGAGACTTCCAGTCTTTTGAACTGTTATGTTCCATTTTCACCTGAGTTGTATCTTTAATGCGTTAGGATCGTTTTTTGGATATGAATAATTATTTCCTAGTTGACACTTGCATGCACATTAATGGGTAAAGTTTTAATTATGCAATAAGGATTTGTCGAAGTCTGACTATCGAAAGGAATAGGATATTAAAGATAGTTTAAGTCAGACTTTGCTGAGAAGTGAGGAGTTATTAATGTCTATATCAGTGTCTTTAATGAATCCGGTTATGGCCGTGAAAGATGGAAGTTTGAGGGATTGCAAATCGAAATTTATTTTTTGTTGTTATGCTTAAAGTGTATGGAATCAAGGTTGCCATTATCGCTCCATTCAAGTCAGAAATCGCGAGAAAAAGAATTAGAGGTGTAAGCCTGATACATCTTTTCATGATAAATGACGTAGAGTGTGTAGGACTAAGGTTTCGTTAGTTTCATCTGTGGATGGATAGCGCAATGAAGTCTCAGGGTTACTAAAAAACGCAAGCTCTTCACTGAGTTTACTAGTCGTGCATGCTTTTTTGTGACAATGTATTTTTGTCGTATCGATCCGAGTTTCACGGAATTAAATACATCGCGTAGGGCTGGATTCATAAGACATTATAACAGTGCCTAGTTGAGGACAGAGCTAGGACGACGCTAACTCCACTTGTAACCCCTGTGACAATGGTCAATATTCCGAGAACTGGCGGCTTGCAATTTGCTTTTTTGAACTAGCGAAATGTCGATGATGGGAAACTCAGGTGTAGCCTCAACCTTGTGATTGGTGTGGGAATTCAAGTTAGATTGGGATTGTAAAAGGGATATTGGAGGGAACATTTTCTTTGAGGCATGGATATCCTTGGTCTGTTGCCTGCAGATACTTTACTTTACCTCAAATAACTTATACGACGAAGTACGATCGGGCAAATGAATCAATTTACCTATGCTCAACTCAAATCAAATGATACCAGCTCAATGGCTTCCTTTCTGGCATCGGCTGATGGGGTCTAAATAGACCCGCTGATCCGAGATAAATTGTGGCCGAGGGACTTTCGTCTTTTACACCACTCGTGTACATTAGTAAGCTCATTCTTCCCCTCCCACGGCATCGTGTAAGAAATACGGCTTATTAGACCTCAAATATGTAACATGCTATGACTTCGAGCGCTGACCCTTCAAAATAGTCAAAGGCTGGGATTTCCTACCACAAGTATTTCTGATACTGGCGTTGAAGTTCATCAAGTTCGTATTTCCTAATTTGTCTGTGACTTGGTGAGCATGAAGTTGCTACAGACGGGCATCGGCTTTACCGTCTGATAGTTCAGTCGCAGTAAACATGGACCATTAGCAGACAAACTCTCGATGTCTTGGTTAAGTGATTCCTCGGACAAAGCGCAAATTCTCTTGCACCACAAGGTTCATCTCCTTGCATTTTCCAAACAACTTCTGCAAACTGATAGCTATTGGGTAGCCTGTGGAATTACTTTTAAATTGATATTGAACCGAACGAGAGAGAAGCAAAATCATTTACCCCAATGATATATTGCAATGCACGAGGCCTTGTACCCGTGGAAATATACCCTCACCCTGAAGAAATTGTCTCTGCTACCATCCGAAACGGTATTTCGATACCATTTCCTTCGCTGCTTCAATAGCTGAAACCACAAACAGGGGCGTTTTTCAGCATCTAACACTTGTTCATGTATTCAGCTTAAAACATATCCTTTTATCCTATTAATTACCTAACATAATCAGATGATACCAGCACTCGATCCAGTTGTGGGTGATCTCGACTAACACAAACCCGTTTGATACGAATATACTAAATCCTGTCTATCGTCTGACCTAAAAAGAAAGGGGCTTCATTCTAGACTTCATAACAAATCCATGTATTGTTGTATACTTGTGTATTGTGTTGTTGATTGAGCTACTTGAGTCTATAACTATCTCGCACGTTCATTTCACCTCTGGCCTTAGCCATACCTTGTGCAGTGCTCCTATCCTCTTTTGCTACTTCAAAGATCATTGATATACTTTCCGTGCTTAATAACTATTCAGCTCAGTATTTACCCGTGAAATTCGACCACTTTTTCTAGGGAATCTTCTATCCAAAGAAAATTAAAATGGGAGCAATGGAAACTGCGTGCGCCGGATAAACTCTCAAAAAATCTTCAGCCCCAGCCAGGCGAGGCCTAGACACCGGGACCACATGAGGTGCGCATATTCATCTACATCTCCCTTCTTTGTAACAGTCGAGGTCGACTTGATCCAATCCGCCATCTCCGTATCGGGTGCTGGGTACGCTCCGGAAACTCATCGGATGGCTTTTCTTTCATGATCAAGGGTTGGTGATAAGAAGAGCTTCGCCCCTAACATCTGATCTGATCGTGGTTGGCTTCATGTTAATAGTGATAGGGGGATGTGCTTAAGGATTAAGACGATACAAACGGCGAAAGCGATTGGGAATCCTCGTCGAATTGAGGACTTTGTTACTCAATCTCGGATCTGCAGACTCTACAGTGAGAGTTGGAGGTTCGTAGGGGATACCTCTGGCAGATGTTGAGCTTTGTCGCCTAAGATGTATACTATTAATTATCTGTTAGCAGATGTGATCAGCCTAAACATTAATTCTAACAAGTTACGGATGAAACCACTGTTGAAGTTCTATTTGGATAAAAGCCTCTGTGAATATCTTGAACTGCGAGGGTTATTTCGAAAATTGTGATATACGTTAATTTCAGAGCCTAAAACACCCGCATTTATTTCTCTTTAAGTGGTATTACGGAGGGGACGATTCCCTGTGTCGAAACCCTAAGTAGTTCATTTGATGACCTAGCTTGGGAACCATTATTTTTAACCTCAATCAAACCAAACTTCCGGTTGTCACCTTGATGCCTACTTTCTTCCTCTTTCAGCCCAGTTCGAATAGAATCTACGCCACTCTCTCGTTCCTCTACCGTAAACTCGTCACCAGCCTCCTCTAGAGCATACTTGGCCACTCGAGCCGCAATCCAATCTGCTGCCCAAAAGCGCAATTCTTCTTCAGCTTGGTCATCCATGATCTCACCATCTTCTTTCCCCTTTTCTTCCCAACCTTCAACTCCAGGTTCAAGCTTTTTGCGTAGTAGCTGACCTAATAAACCCTCCTGTGTACGACCAGGATAGTTAGTTGATGGATAGACGACCGTACGATTTAACAGGTCGGCATGTTTTGAGAGATGTGTAGTGAGGGCTTGGATGTTACTCGCGAGAATCATGGCTGAGGCCTGGAGGGAATGCCTGGTAAGTTGTGATTAATACCTAGATCGTATATCTCATTGAAGACTCATGACATAGTGCTGGGTCAACGCACCATTCTGGTAGCGGCAAGATTTGGACTACGTCTTGTTTAAGAGATGCAATATTATTGGTAAGTTGATGGAGTCGTTGACGGGTTTGTTCCAAGGCTCTGAAATCATCCGAAGAAAGCACTGGCTGCGCCATGTTTGTTTTAGGTTGAAATTTTAAACTTCGTGGTAGGAATCAACCTAATTTTGAATGAAACGTTATCGGAAGTGTCAAAATGATACAACTTATTTCTCAAGGAGTCTTTGAATAGATTAACATGATAAAATATCATAGTGTGATTGTGGCCAAGGATGATGCAGGTAGAGTCTGGTTTTGATATAGCAATTTGGCGATAAAGTTAAAATAGCGGAATGAAATGTACGTACCATCATATTGATCTATCTAGTTGATGAATTGTGGTCCAAGACTGGATGCTCTTGTCACTTAGTCTGATTTAGCTTCGCTAACTGATTGGCGCCGACAATAGACATGTAAAATATTGATATGCGATTAGTTCTTGATAGGGCAATTTTCTACAATCGATGTACCAAACATTTGGGAATGACGTAACAAGACTGAACACCTATTAGTGGTATCCTCTCCATACCTAAGGCCAAAGTTCAGTCGCAAAAAAGGGTGTGTTCGTGAGTCTAGATCGAGGCGTCGATTGGTAGGAGTGGCATTGTCAAGTTTTTGGTCGAAAATGCGTCCTACAGAGACTTTATGATCGCAAAACCCATCGAACACAAACATTAAAATTCCAAAGACGAAGCGCAGACAGGATAAAACTTGTCTGATGTTTGTGCTAAAATAACTGACAATCCTTCACTGTACCGAATTTTCCTGGAAGATCTCTCTCAGCCGAGTTCATTTCGCTATCTACAGAAGCTATTAACAATCCAAAAGTCATACTCGTTATCAAAAATAAAAAAGCACATCAGTCCTGTTGTGAATATCGTGCGCTGTGAAAGTGCGGTCGAAGTTTCGGCATCATATTCGTCTAGACCCCGCAAAACGTACCAGAAACTCAACCTACCACGTATTGCCACCGACGAAATACTTGAGACGGAGTGCAAGACTGAACACCTGTACGCGATGTCCTCTACAAACCTGGAGGTCAAATATTTTCACAGAGCCAAGTTCAGTCAAATTTCGCAAAACCGAACAAGTTGGCCCACGAGGCAAGGATTCAAACTCTCCACCACGTCAAATCTTCACTCCCAGAGAGTCCGATTCCTACCTAAGCCTCATCAAGCCTACAAGTACGACCTAGTACATCCTCATTCCAATGACCACACTTTTCTTCAACCTTCTCGGGCCTCAGTCGACCAAGTACACGCCCTCGTCGATATCAATACCCGACAGAGGAAACAAAGCGTGGCGCACAAATCTGGGAGACTGTTCTTTGGTATTGGCATGAGAGTATTCAGGACAAGTTCACAAGATGATGTGAAGGATGAATACAGTCTCGACGGGTGGAGAATTTTGAATTTTGGCGAAGAGTTTTTACAAGCTGAGCTTTGTGCGTGCCAAGACTTCGGTTGCGAGAGTGCAGGCGACACTATAAACACCGCCATGGTTGGATGGTGCGGTGGTACATCGTCTTGGCCGCTCTGCCGAGTAGAGTCTGGATAGCTTGGACACATATTCCACTTGAGACAGTAGATCGCTGGTTCAAATCCGGCAAAACACAACCACATTTCTCGCGGCGATGGTATGCATGGATGACGAAGGCATGCTTGGATAACCAAAGGTTTTGAAACGTCCCTGTGGTGGGTACTTACAGAGGAGGGTCGACTGTTTGTGTGAGCAAACATACCTCATAGCAGTATTTGCGAATGAAATACAGAGTATGAGTGTCTCTAAAGTCAAAAGAGTCATCCAACATGTATACCTAGCACCGGTCATGTGTTACAGCTAGATAGCCGAATACACATTAAATGATTTAAAAAAAAGCCTGGTAGGACCAAATAAGGAACTCATAAGCCCTGTCTAAGACATTTCTCCAGAAGCCTGATAGTTTGGAAACTTCGACAACTCGATAGAAAATTCTCAATACTCCTGTCATCCTCATGAACCTGCTGCATGAAGGAACAAAAGGGAATAAAAACTGAGGAGGCCTTGGTGGGCGACTGGATGAGGCCTCCAGTGAAGAAAAAGACCCCCGGATGAGATGAGGAGATGCTGGGGTGAGCCAAAGCTGGGAATGAATCGAAGGAAAAAGTCACGGATGGCGAAGGTGTCAAGGGCTCGGACGCGTGGTAGCCGAGGCTGAGGAGGAATTAGCGCTTCGGCGCGCCGAAAGGGGGTTTTATGGACGGTTGGGCTTGACATGATTCAACACATGGGTGAAGTCCGAGGTGGTCCGGTCATTTAGGTGGGACGAGGCACTTGTACTTCGCGATAGTTAACCTGATCCTGTCCAACCCCACCTATGTTTAAGCTCCAGTAGGAGTGCAACAGGAATCACTATACCTAGCACGTAAATGAACAACACGAAACAAAAATCCTCATGAGCCTATAGTATGCCTCCAGAAGATTCATTGAGAATCTTCTAAGCTCCGGGTATTTCGAGATCCTTCCCGAAGATCCCCGAAAATTCCCTTGGTGTAATTGCCTGCGCCAGCCAGCGTAGGCTACAGGAATCCTTAGGCTTAGCAGCCGTTACAGCAAAGAAAACTTATATACATAGATAAATTTGTTTTTATTACGTTTATAAGCCTAGCACTTGTAGAACATGACATGGAGATAGTTAGTCTTTTCCAGACGACTATATACGAAGATAACTTAGATTGACATTTGGATCACTCGTGCAGTAGGTACATTTGCTAATATCGCTTGAGACCTTTGTGCTGGGGGCTCCCAATCTTCCCTCAGCCGTGAATATCCATCAAAGGAAAAAAAGAGAAACCTTTACCTTATCTTGGAGATAAAATAATTGGAGCTGAAAAAGAATAAACTTCAGAGGTACAGTTGTGCTGGCTCGGTTGAGTTGTTTGGAGACCGGGTAATGGCGAACGGTCTGTTATAAAAGTAATGGGTGGAAAACACAGGCTAGTGCATAGACGCTGTTCATGTATTTAACAACTTTTTCACCTACGGAGGTTTTACGACTAATCTATCCATGTCATATTATACTCCACATCATCCAGTAGATGATTTTATCATTCGTCGGAATGCGCATCTGGTATATCCTTTATAGATCACTACTGTCAGTAAGAGTTCACATTTGATACCTACTGACACCCATTGGCCACCACTTGATACGCACTCAGCATTCATCGGGCCATCAATCCAGCGTGAGCGCGCCATCTCCGCGTCTCACCATAGCACATGAGCTCATGTCATATTATTGCCACATACTCTCAGCTCATAACCACAACAGTTACACTCTTAAATATTCACCGTAACTTAAGCAGGGCCCAAATCAGTATCGCCATCCTGCTAAAAAGTGAGCTTATCGGGCTCACTTCTCACTCGTATAGAAGAAAGGTACCCGAAGTAAGAGAGCCTAGCTTTCGAAGTGGATATCCGTCACAAAACGTCAAGCATATGGTCTAAGCGTGTCCATAGTGGAAAAGGCGACTTTCTCTGACAAGATTAAGACAGGTCATTTGAAGCAATGATTCAAAGCCTCGAAGATTTGGCTAGAATCACACAGTGGATACTAAGTAAAGGATAGATAAAAATGTTTCGTCTTGCAGGGGAAATCAGGGTAGTGATTTGGGATAAAATAAAACAATCTAGAAGGGGAGATGACGGAATCTGAACTGGCTGGATAGTGTAAGCTACAATTCCTAAAGGTGAACTGGACAAGTTGATGGCAACAAAAAAGGCTAGATCAGGGGTTTTTCACCAAACTGGTTTCCTCCTTTGTAAATGATAAAGATAGTTACCTGCATAGATCTACAGGGTACCTGATTGGGTTGAATGAAATCGATTTCTAGAACTGGAGCTGACAAGCAGGTTTCAGAAAATGCAGCTGGGGCAGCTGACCGCTTAAATGAAAGCTGTATACAACCTTTGCGTATATTTTGTTTACTGTACTACATGAGTCATAAACCACCTAACACGTTTGGTCCCTCTCTAACCCAGGCCACACCTTATTTAGCGCTCCTATCCTCTTTTGCTACTTCAAAGATCATTGGTATATTACCTGTGATGAATAGCCATTCAGCTCAGTGTTTCCTCGTGGAATTCAGCTACCTTATCCATGGAACCTTCTACCAAAAAAAAGAAAAAAGTTAGCAATGAAAACCGCGTGCGCGGGAAAAAGTCTCAAAAAAGCTGCAGCCCCAGCCAGGCGAGGCCTAGACACCGGGTCCACATGAGGTGTGCATATTAATCTATATCTCCTTTCTTTGTACGCGTCGCGGCCGACTAGATCCAATCCGCCATCTCCGTATCGGGTGCTGGGTACGCTCCGAAAACTCATCTAATATCTTTTTCTCCATGATCAAGGGTTGGTGATGAGAAGAGCTTCGCCCCTACTATATAATCAGATCGTGATTAGCTTTATGATAGTGGTGATATGGGGAGGTGTTGAGAGATAAAGACAATAAATACGGCGAAAGCGATTGGAAATCCTCATGGAAGTGAGGACTTTGTCACCCAATCTCGGCTTTGCAGACTCTAAAGTAAGTTGGAGGCTGGCAGGGGACACCGCTGATAGATGTTGAGAATATTTCCTCAGCATAGCATCTTGTCTTGGTCAGAAAACGATAAAATTTCTCTCATCTATTCTCTCCCAACAGAGCCCTTTTATTAAAAACTGTATCATGCGTTGAGATTCGCTATTGCTGTAGTGCTAACCTGCATTCCGAGAAATACCACGGACGTCTTTCTCCGCCATACGCATCTACAGAATATTCCTTCATGATGAAACCTCTCGTGGTAATTGGTTAAGTTTCTGTGACTAGTTCTAACTGCTAACGGATGGGTATACCACCATCTTGGTAGAGCCAGTTCTGGTGGATATTTCCGTTTTATCATTGGATCCAAGTCTTTGTATCGACTGGATCTATCCTCTCCTCATCAAGACTCAATCGTCTCCTTGCGTTCTCCAACATTGCAGCTTAGAGATGCGAAAGTGTAGCTTTGACTACTATTTGACCTCAAAATGTCAATAGCGCTGGAGAGGTCTAGAAGAAATTTCGAATTGGCGTAAATAATGCCGAATAAACGATCTAAAAGCACTTTCGAGACGTTCCGTAGCGGATCGTCAACGTGACGGGACTAGTTCTTTGGGATGGACGTGAGAGGGATCAGGAAAAGTTCACAAGCTGATGCAAAGGAAGGGTATAACCTCGAAGGGCGCGAATTATCGAATTCTGGCAAGGAGTTTTACGAAGTAAGTTTTGTGCGCACCAATACTTCGCTTGCGAGAGTGCAGCTGACACTATAAACACAAGCCAACGATGGAAGGTGTTGTGGTCCGCCTCCTGGTGGTGTTCTCCGGTATAGTCTGAGTAGCCTGGGCACCTTCTCCACTTGGGAAGGAGACGCCTCAGACCACATTTCGCGCGGAGAAAAGTTGAAAGATGATAGAGGCATGTCTGGATAACTCAGGGTTTTTGAGACGTTCCCCTGGGTGGGCATTCACGGATGAGGGTTGACTTGGGTGAAGATAAAGCCACCATAACTTCGCAGTGGTACTTGCAAATGACATCCGAGGCATGAGTGCTCTTCCATTACGTTGAATCATCTATTCTGTAATTTTCTTTGATATTGTGTCATAGCTAGATAGCTGCATACGCAATTAAAATCTGAAAAAAAAATATATATATATACAATCAATGAATGAATGGATATCTCGAAATATGTTGTTTCCTATAACTCTACCTTCTAGCTCTACCCAACTCGCCTTGCTTTTGAAATTAAGTCAAATTCCTGCTCGACTCCCACGAAGGCCATGAACATCGCAGCATGATTTGCTAATCAACATCACCTATCTCAGAGAAGTTGGATCTCCGAATGAATCGAAAATATCCACCGGAGTTAGCACTTCCGAGATGTGCGCGTCACCGCCGTGTCGCAGCGAGGACGGGACATGCTGGCAGAAAAGGCTTGGGAAAATTTTCGTCAGCTCTTAGTGGTAACCAAGTGTTACGAGAGGTAGATCTCACACCGGTAGGATCAAGTCCTGCCGAAATGGATGTTTTTCAGGACAAAGGATTGTGAGGGAACAGGAAAGATGCGGGGCGCTTATTTTTCTTATAATTAATTCATTATTTAAATTTTGCGTATAGATTTGACAAGTAAATCATGTAATTAAGCTATAGTGTGTCGCCAGGGAGCAAAGACCCGTATCACGCCTATTGGATGTATGGCGTAAGCCTGATACGGTATGTATTCAAATCAAATCACCTACCCCAGAGAAGATGGAATGATCCATAGCGCTAGAGAACGATCCATTTCCTGACAGTAAGTTGCTACCTTGTATCAGCAAACCAGCAGATAAGTGATCTGCAAACGAATCATCCATAGTTTATTGTAGTGAATGACAACATTTAGAGTCTAGCTCGAATAAATACAAAACTACATATAAAATAGAAGCGAGTCTTGCGAATCTGTAGTCATCAACTTGGTATACAAAAGCCACATCACAACTGATTCCCATTCCTAGATAAATTTTAGGGTTTAATGCAACTTAGCTGAAAGCTTGTGATATTTAGACGTCAGTATTGTATTTTTCTCGTGCAATCCCATGCTACGTTTAGCCATGGTACACTCACCAGTTATGACGTCGACGCAGATGCGTGAATATAGATTCTGAGTTTCCTTTCCTTCCTTCTGCACTGCAAACATTTGTTTAGAGATTATCATCCACACATCAGCTTGAAATATCCAAGTTATCGAAAAGTTTCGACCGTGAGGCCACCCAAATCCCAAGATATAGACACGACTCACAGTGGCAGACTAATTTAAGATGCCAAAATCCAACACAAACACTCAATACCAGCCAGACGATGCGTATGTGACAGAAAACGAACCTGTTTCCATACGTGACAAAGTTGGTGATCTAGGTCGATTCATAGACTGCTGCAGATATGCAATCCTAACAACACATCATGCCTCTAGTGGTGCCTTAGTTTCAAGGTGCATGGCCGTGGCTGGAAAGGTTACTACCTAACCCTTCCAATCCAATAATTCTATCATTGACCCCGACAGGAAAATGGAGGTCTGGACATTTTGTTTTTCACAAATACAGAGTCTGCTAAGGTAGATGACATCAAAATAGATTCGAGTGTTAACATTTCATTTCTCGACGAGTCTGGACAATGGGCTTCTCTCTCCGGAACTTCCAAAGTTATTACCGATAGAAGTGTGATGAAAGATTATTATGAATCTACCATGAAGAATTGGCCCACGGTGCGATCTTGGCTTGATATCTTTGTTGCCAATGGCTCTGACGATCCTCGTCTTGGTATCATCAGAGTTGAGTCTAAAACAATTACCTATTCAATCAAAAGCCATAATTCATTAAATAATGCTATGGAGACAGCGCAGGGTTTGGTCACGAGGAAGATACCGCGGACAAATAAACTATGCCAGATTAGCGAGAAAGAAATCTTAACCTGGAAGGACTCAGCGAAGATGGTTGAGATGAAACCCTAGCTACGATAAGTTGCTTGAACAAGTTATAAATAGAATCGCCAAATTCGGATAAATCCTACTTGTGCTTAGACTAAGGAGCTAAGATCATCTGTTATCAATGGATTATGAATTCTTGTTTCGTGATTTGATTGAATGTTTTAACATGATAGGCACGAGCCCTGCATCCAAAGGACATTATACGGGTAGTTGATCCCGATAGACTGAATACTACCGTAGTGACCAATTGAATACAAACTCCGAAAAAACCTGAAAAACACACTTTCCAGGTCCGGTGCCCTGCGCCTTACCTGAACCCCTAGTATCATTCATCAAGACATCCTGTATTTGAACACCTAAAAATTTTCCATTTAATGCGATAATGATCGATTTCATTTTCTCACACCTCCATCCATCGAAGCAAACGAGGCACAATCTATTTTTACAGAGTCGGTAGCAGTATCCAAAACCTTAGTTTTAGCACCCGAATGTACCCCAAAGTCGAAAAGTATCAGTCCTAGCATACCAATCGATGGCCTCTTCTTTCTCTCCTTCCACGTGCAAGCTGCCTATCTTCTATCAAGAGCTAGAGCACCATTATAACAGCAGTCTCTCATAACCCAAGAATAAAGCTTTGTATATCTTGGCATATCTTCTTCCCTATTGGAAATCGTACATCATTACTTTGCAGTGGAAGATGGCTAGCTGTGAAGGGAGAACTCTTGCTTAAAATTGGAGTAGCTCAATGATCGGCCATTAAGGCGAGATGTTGAGTGGTAAGATTGAGATGAAAGACTCGCGTGTGAAATTTAAGACTAAATTTAGTGAATAGCGTTTGAAAGTAGAAGTATTTATGTTTGCTTTAGACTTAACTTCGGGTGGGATTCTACTAGGCTATCCGAAATATGCAGAACTTATAGAGTGTTTACACCGACATATCTGGAAGGTGAAGAATTTACTTTTACGGGCGGACTTTTAGCTTTCTTGTGTCGAAAATGAAGGTATAATGTTTTGGATGTGAGGGCCGTACGTTTCGTCCAAATCCCGATACGATCTTGTGTGTTGTAAAGAGTCTGGAGTGTGTAATATGGTAGCATGACAGGCTGCATGGTAGATACACGAGCGGCTGTATGGCCTGGGCACAAGGAGTTTATTGGAGGCTTCTATGTCTGTATGGTGCCACAATCGTTTATGCTGTAGGTTATGGTCTGTTTGTTTGTAAATTAACGTGATAGCCAATTAGCACCTTCCGCACTCCTGGGGTCAGTCAAAGTCAGGTTAACTACCATGTAAGTACATAAAACTCGTCCTTCCTGAATGTACGGATCGCCTCGGACTTCATCCAACAGGCCAGAGGGCCCGATTTGTGCACGCTGAAGCACAATTTTCTCTTCAGCCTCGGCTACCACACGCCCGAGCCCTTGACACCTTTCTAATCTCTGACCTTTCCTTTCCGTTCAGTCCCAGTCATATCTCATCCCAGTATCTCCTCATCTAATGTTGGCATCGTTTTGTTCATTGGAGACCTCATACAGCCGCCAACCGAGGCCTCTAGTTTTAACCCCTTTTCTTCCTGCATTGCAGCTGTCCTCAAACCTTATGTCGACTTCGCCATCTTAGAAACTTTCTAGACCCTCCATCGCTCCGGTCTTGCTCCTTTGCTGCCGTAGTTCCAACCGCGAAGGCTGAAGAACCAATGGCTCAGCCTTTATCGAATGCTCGAGTTGACGTGCCAGTGAAATATGGTAGGCGATTCGTTGCAGGTTGAGTTGCTGGCGCCCTTGGCCGAGGTTGGACGAATATAAGGCCGGTACTCCGACCGTGCCTTCATAGCGCACGACAGTCGCGGAGGTATGAATTTCCACATGAAACTCAGATGGCAAATATAGCTTTTGGATTTTGGAGTGCTTTGATGAGTGGTAAGATGAGTGGTAAGATGAGTTTGGATGAAAAAGATGTCCTGGGAGAATTTGAGAAAGCGAAGGTTTTCAGTTGTCTGAATGCGAACATCAGAAAAGTTTTATCCTTCCTGCGATCCGCATATGGGCCTAAATGTTTGTGTTCGCCGGGTTGTGCGGTCATTGAATCTCTGTAGGTCGCATTTTCGACCAAAAACTTGAGGGTGACTATTCTCAACACCTGTCAGTGGTATCCCCTACGAACCTCCAGCTCTCACCGTAAGGTCTGCAGAGCCGAGATTGAGTAACAAAGTCCTCAATTACATGGTCTGCATCGTCTTCATCTCTCAACACATCCCCCTATCACCATTATCATGAAGCTAACCACGATCAGATCAGATGGTAGAGTCGGAGCCCTTCTCATCACCAACCTTGATCATGGAATTAGAGCCATACGATGGGTTTCCGGAGCGTACCCAGCACCCGATACGGAGATGGCGGATTGGAACAAGTCGGCCTCAACTGTTACAAAGAAGGGAGATGTAGATGAATATGCGCACCTCATGTGGTCCCGGTGTCTAGGCCTCGCCTGGCTGGGCCTGCAGGTTTTTTGAGACTTTTTCCTGTGCACGCAGTTTCCATTGCTACCATTTTTATTTTTTTTGGGTAGAAGGTTCCGTGGAAAAGGTGACTTAATTCCACGGGTAAATACTGAGCTGAACGGCTATTCATCACAGGCAATATATATCAATGATTTTTCAAGTAACAAAAGAGGATAGGAGCACTGTACAAGGTGTGGCCTGGGTCAGAAAGGAGCCCAATGTGCTAGATTATCATAGACTCAAGTAGCACAATATGGGGCTTGACCCTCACTGTCCATGAGAAAATAGTTCAAAATTGTAAAATTGGAAAGGAAATAATGTAGCTAGTATCTTATATATAGAGTCTAGAAGTCCTCTATAGTCATTGACTCAGTTAGGACTATAATATAAATCTAATCTAATCTAAGTAGCACAATAAACATCACTCACACCCTATGTCGCGACTGAATCTCGACCCGGGGAGGACAGCACTAACAGGTGCTCAGGCCTCGCTCTCCGCCTTAGGATGTGTGTTACTCATACTTGAACATACAGCGCACCCCCCCCACTCTCTCAGTCAACTCCAACTCTCGTCGCAGGAGTAATGCGGCCATTTCTTCGCACGATACTTTCAACAAGTTGTAATTATCGGCTTAGGTGGTACCCTGACACCGAGTGAATTTTTATCATTAGATGCAGCTGGTACGTTTGAGCTGCGATCTGTGCTACATCGACGTAAAATAGCACAGACTGGGTGGGTCTAAGGAACAGCTCTCCAATATAGTTTCCAAAATCGTCCTTTGCCCAAGTCACTTCACTGGGCTACATGAAATAGAAGCCCAACAGCTTAAGCTTTCCTGGGAACTCTCGGCTTGTAGTCACTGAGGACTGAGTAAAGACTCGCGACGGGTTTCAAGAGTGAACAGGAGCTGTAGATGGGTCATAGCTTACCTCAACCCACAGACATAGGGATTTTATAGTTTGTTTAGAATTTACAGCACAAAATAGACCAAAAATACCAAACATTTTTCAGATAATTTTTGATTGAAACAATGGAATTTCTACAGTGATGTTCTATTTAATTTCAACTTGACAGAATTATCATTTGGGACCGAGTTCATCCGCTTATTTACCTATTTTTTTACATTAGCTCGCGGTAAAAACCTTGCCATTATTACGATAAAAATTTTAGCACCCGAACAGGATGCTGCCAAAATCGTCTCACTTGTCACCCCTTTACACAACCGTGTAGCTAGGGCACAGATAGAGGCACTAGCTCTGATCTGCCACGCACATTGGACCCCGAGTACCCCAGATATGCAGCTAGGAATAGCCCTGTACATAATTCGCTAAGGACCGCAGCTAGTATGCCTGGCCCACTTCTATCCTCATGTCCTTGACCGTCACTCGTATGCCTCGTGTTGTGTAGCGGACTTCAGCTAAGTAACTGCATACGTGACAAAACTCCCCACATATCCGACAGAAATATGCTACTGACATCCCGCGCGAAACTAGATGTGATGAGTTTTCTGACCGCTTCATGTGGCAACTTCTCTTCCCGTCCCATGAGCCACTATTAGGCTTTGACTATTAGTCTTCCAGTTATAGGGTATGATTTAAGGCTAGTTATGAGTAGAGTGGAATCTGAGAGTCGAGGCTTAATGTTAATTTTCATACGATGACGCTAGGTTCGCGTCTAGACGTTCTCTGATGGCTCGGCTTCGTTTGTTCTTGTATCGAGCACAGCTAGAACCGTGGTCAGGGTGAACAAAATCCTACTTGAATCAGCAAAGGGTGTTCCTGGAAATATTGAGGTCTGAGGGCATGGCATACCATTGGATGCTTGAAAGAGTTACAGCTATTACGCTTGCCATACAAGGCCCCCAGTGACTACTCAGGCAGCCAACATTATTTAGCAAACTCGAGAGGGCTATCGACCCAGCAGACCAGAATAACATTGTTGTAGCTTCGATTGCTATGACTTCATATTTATGTGCAGCGACTGGAAACATTATGGGACCAAAAAAAAGGATTGCAATCGCTAACAGGCTCCATATTGAGGTAAAGGTGAGAAAGTTGATGGAGTATGGTGACCACCAGTAAGACCAGCCATTCGCGGCGTAGATGAGAAGCCCGACGATCAAAGTGGAGAGTAAAATTTGAACGATGCGAATAGGATTGACGGGTATGATAACGAACTCCATAAGTTGAGGAGGGTAAATTTTATGGAGGATTGGCCCAATTTGAATAGCATAGAACGGAAGTATGGAACGGAAGAGAGATGGAAAGCCAATTGGCGCGCCAGTGACGAGCACAAGGAGAAATAACTCAGTTGCACAGCTGACTACGCTGCCTTTGGAGGCCCGACTAAATTTTGCCGCGACCTGGAACTTCGGTGAATCCCGCGATCCCTTCGCGTCTGGCGTACTCGTCGGGGGCTCATTATTATGATGGCTGGGACTCCATGGAATCCCTGCATCCGCCGACTGGGGCGCACTCGTCTAATATCTATACCTGGATGGCCACCGATTGACAGTGGAGCCCCTCGTCGAGCTCAAATCAATGAAAAGGAGAATCCAGTCTTTCCACGATGCCTTGGCGCGTGCAAACTAATTCGAACGTGAGGGATAACTGACTAGCGTCATTAGCCGCATAAGCCTTAACATACACCAGAACTGGCGCTTTGCCGAAATGAGTCTTTCGTGCTCAGGCCAATGGTATGGAGGGGTTAACTTGGGCGTCTAAGAGAATAAGTGTAGTATATTGATCAACGATAATAGTAATCACAGTTGGTCGAAGGGCTTCGGCCAAAGTGGCTACGAGCCGCGTCCAAATCACGTGAGTACGGGGTTTTTCTGTAAAATTGGTATAAATGGGAGTAATTAATGACAAGGATGCCAAGTACGGAGGGTAAAAGATGGTGTGCAACGCGCGGATGTTGGAAATGTCTAGATTGATGAAATTTGGGGTAATGGCGCGTGATGGAGCTGCACTGGATGCAGTCGCCGAAACGGCAGTACTCGCAGGTTGACCAAATCAGCCAAACGAAAAGGGTGTGAGAGGCTGGGTGGATCCTCGTTCGACGACCATTCCGCTATTTAGGGATTGATAACGTGTATCCACTGTACGCCTGCACTATATAATCTGACAATCAGCGGCAGCTAGGGGAAGCATTCCTGTATTTGGTAAACTAGCCTTCCAATCGACTCACTATGCAGGCCAAGACTATTCTTTCCCACAGATCTCACTAGATGACGATCCACGATCCATACTCGACAATGATTAAAGAGCTCACGGGTTATTTGCGCTGCCAAAGTCATGGCCATAAGCATTTCATTCGAGAATGTTACATTTTTGCAAATTTGCGCATACTTTGCCCAGTCGAATTCTTGCATGCTGTGCGACAAGATTAGTGTTAGGGACGTATCCGACAAACACTTTAGGATCGCAGGTCCACGCTTGTCACTCACATCTTACACACTCCAGGCGCCCTAGGAAATAAGACTGGCTGTCTGTAAAATTGGTTAGAGTATCCGCAAACGCCTTTTATCAGAAATCTTCAGCTCAACTAACGCATATAGTTCCTAATTGTATACCATGTCATTTTCGCTCATCCATAACGGTTTACTGCCACTAATAACCAGATTGAAGACTTTTGTTTCAAGGCATGCTTCAGCCAAATGTTATTGCCGTTCTTAATAGTTCACCTAGAGAATCTTATCACTGACTAAATCGGGAGCGCGAGAGAGTCAAGGAAATGACAATTCCTACTCGTGTTTAAGTGATCTACACCTGTAGAACGTCATTTGCTGCACCCCTTTCTGTGGAGACTATTTGTTCTGATAAGATACGCCATTGAAACGTTTGGGGTTTATCCCTACATGCCGTCTTTTTGCAGGGATTGATTGACAGCTCTGGGGTGAGAGGACTAGGGCTGACACTTGTCAGTGGTATGTCCTGAGAACCGAGATTCAGTGAGGACAAATTGTGCTGTTGGGGCTTTTCGTCGAGATAGCTATAGAGGGGCCTAGTGCTGGCTATTTCATGGCCATAGACCTGGCCCACAGAGACTTCACAGCTTCACGAATCATCGAAATCTATTATTTTTGCACCATCAACGAAACGTAGACAGCCTAACATTTGTTTACTATGTGCACTTCAAACGACTGATCTCCTTCACAGTCTTTATTTTTCTTGGGAGACCTTTTCCAACTCTATGTCACCGCCTACCGAAGCTATCTATATCCAATAGTCATGTTCACGGTCTTGATATTGAAGAGTGCTCAACTCCCAACAATGCCACTCGCTGTGACGATACGGCAGCTGGGACAAGGAAGCTTGATACTTACGTAGGTTACGAGGGGATATACTGTAAGATTACATTGTAGCATTGCGGTGGTTCACTTTGAGTAGTAGAGGCATTAAACGCGGATAAATTTAAGAAGTCACGCTAAAAGAGATTACAAATGCCTGGCTAATTATACACTAAATGGCCCTATCAATCATTACTTCATAGAAACAGATGTGGTTATTTCTTAGTCAACGAAAGACCACCTGTACCTTTGTAAACCCCTACATACACCTGCGCTTTCTATCTATTGCCTTGCGTATCGAGCACTGCCTAGCCCACAATTCTCGTCCATGTCATCAAGGCGCTAACGTGTTGTGCAGGTGATGGCCAGGATTACGATGCATAAGGGCAATGATCGCTGAGAGTGAAGGGAGAACTTTTCAGGTAGTTCCATAATGAGTAGAGGATTAGATTAGATTTACATTACAGTCCAAACTAAGTCGACGACTACAGAGGACTCCTAGAATCTGTATATAAGATGCTAGCTACATTTTTTGCCTGTCCCATTCTACAATCTCTAACTATGTTCTCATGGACAGTGAGGTTCAAGCCCTATGATGATGAGTAGAGGAACAATAGAGCATTATATGGAAAGTGTTTCAAGATTATACTATCAGATGGAGGATACTACAATATTCCGTGACACTGTTTTGGAAAAATAAGGCGAGAGTCTAGCTATCTCAGATGTGTATATAACTAGCGTTTTCTACCTCCTAAATCCTCATAGTTCTGAATTTCAAATATTCAGCAGTTCACATTGATTAACCAACAACCATCCGTAAACCTTTTGTCAATAATCCTCCGTTAGCTCTTACCTTTACAACGCAACGCCCTTACCTGCGGCGAAATGGGTATTTCATTGAGTCAAAACGCTAGCTTGGGCATTCCTAAAAGGACCGGGAATCCAAACCTTGGTCTCGAGCTCTTACCGGTGTATTTAGCTTCCATAGCCAGGGGTACAGCAGCGATGGGTTAAGGCTTAGGGCTAGAAAATTTCCAAAATCCCAAGGTTGAGAGATCAGCAGATTGGATAGGGAGACATTAAGATGCAGAGATGATAGGAAAAATGTCAGAAATTGTTAAGGATTTCTAGGAGGAAATATCTCGAAGAACAAGTGTACAATTTCGAACAAGATTTTATTGATAGTTGTATATGATATAGAACTCTCTTCTCAATATGAATTAATAACATATTATAGTCTGTTAACTTGGTTTAGCATATACTAATAAGTCTATCCTTAAATACAGATTCCCAAGGCTTTAGTGATCCCGAACTTCCAGTGATCTAGCAACAACCAGCCACTCGATTATCGCAAGGTAGCAGTTTCTAGCCACTGCATTTCAGATAACACTGAACCTCATGTCGCTCAGCTAAGCTTAACCATATGCAATCGGATCAATTGAATTGATTGATTGATCATATTTAGAAATCTAAACTTTCAGATATACTAAGTCTAGATTTGCAACAAACAAACAAAGAAGGCACTGTCTGCGCAAGTGGATGAGACCTCTACCGACAAAAATGATCCGTGGTTGAGTTATGGGAATGCTGGAAGAAGACAAGGCCGGGGCTGTACGGAATGGAAAAATTGAAGGTTAGGAACGTGTCAAGGACTCGGACGGAGGGCGGGCGAGGTAGCATTGCTGAAGAGGTACTTTTCACAATCCCTTTTGCATAAGAGAACTCCGCAGAAAAGTTTACATTGATTTTTTCTGGGCTACCGGGGTAGTCCCGATTCAACACATGGATGTTTTTCTACATGATGCTAATGATTCAAGTGATACGAGGTATATTCGTTCTTTCAGAGCAGCCAGACCGATCCAGCCCGACTTGTGCGCAAGCTCTAGGAGTGCGATGGGTACCACTTTACCTAGCATATTAATAAACATACCTTAGCCATGCATCGGCATGCCGGAACTACGGCTCAGTGATGAATTCCATTGTGGAATCTCAAGCCACCATAAAGTGCCGGAACTGCAGTGTCTCGTTTCAATCAGACAGACGAGAGTACTTGGCTCGATCGATTCGAGCTCGCACAGTGGCAAGAGGAAAATTTGATACTATCCGACAGGCCATTCGTCGAGAGTTTTCATGGGAGAAGGGCATTACTCATTGTAGAAATGACAGGGTTATATGAGAAGTGCTATAAGAGTTGTTAGACTCCAGCGAGATATCACTTTGGAGGGTTTAGTAGTGGGCTTTTTTCATTCTATTTCCCTGTCTGAGTCTACGACAATGTTGGACATGCAGATCCTCTCTGCCTACAGGCCAAGAATACCTATGATAGTAGTATATCCCTCCTTTGTCTTCTTTCAAAGCTCCCCTCAAACAGCACCCACCCCTCACAGGTCCTTATTCGATCACACTCTTAGAGGAGCCCTTAGCCCTTCATTACCTCCCCTCTCCAGCCAACGAAACGATGGCCATTTGCGGGTGTATGGCAACCGGGAATAATCACAAAAACCGCTGGGTGCGGAGCTCTCCTAATACCGACATTAGGACTAAATCCGAAAACATAGTGCCCCTTCTGATGCGTTCATAGAGATCGGCCAGCTGGGCGCTGCAGACTTGTGGGTACCTCTAGAAATTCACCCTCTGCCTTTCGAGCCTCCTTCCAACTCCTTCCCGAAGGTCGTGCTGAAATGTCAGAAAATTCTTGACAGAGCGTGATTGCTGTATAGTAGCTTAGCCTAACTTCTTTTGTGCCGTCTAGGGCGCTGGGGAGCGCATTTGACTCATCTAAAATTGAACTCCTCCTGGCTAGTTTGCAAAAACCTTAGTCTTGGCGCTTACAAAAATTCTAAAGTTGAAAACCCCTCGAAAATATCAGTCCCAGCATGGTATTCAGAGACCTGTTCCCCTTCAAGTTGTTTGTCCCATTAGAGCAACAGTCCCCCATAAGCCAGGACCCAAGCTTTGTATTTTTCGACTTGATTTCCTCCTCACGAGTATAAATAGTGTCTTAAATATGTAGTTGGAGATGGTTGGCAACTAGTGGGGCAAGCTCCTGTTTGCAATTGTAGCAACTTCTTTGTTGGTCGTTGAGGCGAGATGATGCGTCGCTAGAAAGAGGTTGAGGACTGAGAAGAAAATGAAAAGTACTAATTATGATTGGTACATGATTTGGGAGTGTTCACATGCGCTGGAACAGCTAAGATAGAATGTGGAGAGATATCTTCATTAATGTGCAGAAGTGAAGTTGCTATGATGATTATTATGTTACAGATTGGGGGAATCTCATCCCTTATCCCCTAGCTTGTTCGCATATAGACCGGTCACGTAACCATTATGCAGCGCACCAAAGTGTGCTTCCAAATGAGCAGCCATGCAATCTGTCCTGTATCAACAACCCATCTCTCGCACTGCACAAATTACTACTTGTAATGTCGTTTTGTAAAGACTAGATCTCCTTCATGCGCCATAATAACTACTTATGCACCAGCTACTAGATCTACCATACTACATAGCTGGGCATAACAGTACTGCATGATTGAGGAATAGTCAGAGATATGCTTGCGTTTGCTTTCAACCTCGATTCGGTTGTGATTCTTCTTGACTATCCCAGATATGCAAAGCATACTGAGCGTCTACACCGGCACCACTGGCCGGTGAAGAATTCGTCTTTGCCGGCTCCTTGCTACTATTCATTCGACCACACGTTAAAAGGGTTTACTAAAAACTTGATTTGATTAGATTTCTCGTCGTGCCTGTTAGTAAAAAGTTGCTCTGCTTAGTAAATACTGATGTTAGCATAAGCCCTAGTGATCTCGTGGGATATTGGACCACGCCGAGAGACATGAATAGAAGCGACGCCCGCTATTATTTGATAGCCTGAGGCACTAAAGCCTCAACTTGAGTCAGGCCAGCTCTGCCCATGCGCGCCAGAGTGCACTTGAGAATATCATCAAAATTATCTGCAAGAATTCGCTATATCAACGTCCACTAATATCTACATCTACTCACTATGTCTGAACGTAAAGTCCTCACTAAGTACTATCCTCCGGATTTCGATCCTTCCAAGATAACAAGGTCGCGAGGACCGAAGCAAGCTGGCCCAAAAGTCCAAACCGTACGATTAATGGCACCATTTCCCATGAAATGCACAGCTTGTGGTGAATACATATACAAAGGTCGGAAATTTAATGCGCGCAAAGAAACGACTGAAGACAAATATTACTCAATTCCTATTTACCGATTCTATATTAGGTGTACAAGATGTTCTGGCGAAATCACTTTCAAGACCGACCCCAAAAATATGGACTACGAGTGTGAGAGGGGAGCGAAAAGAAATACTGAACCCTGGCGAATGAATGGTGCAGGGAAAAAAGAAACTGACGAGGAACGACTTGATCGATTGGAACAGGAAGAAGAAGAAAGAAATGCAATGCAGGAATTAGAGACGAAAACTTTAGATGCAAAAAGAGAGATGGCAGTGGCCGATGCTCTCGACGAGATACGAACGCGAAATGCCAGAAATGAGCGAGCTGGTAAAGATGGTTTAGAGGCGTCAGTTGCTTGTGAAAGCGTCGATGAAGCCAGGCGACGGCAAAATCTAGAAGACGAAGAAGCTGCACGACGCGCATTTATGAAATATAATGAGACGCCAGAAGAAGTGATTGAGCAGCCCAAATTGGAAGAAAGCAACACCGACTTAAATTTAATTTCTACCTCTAAAGAATCGAAGTTAATGTTGCCGCCTCCAAATCCAGTGATGCCGCCTCCTGCCTTTAAAAGAGTTGTGAAGAAAAAGAAGGACCATGCCGCCCTACTAGGAATCAAGAGAAAAGTTCCTCTCTCACAATAGATGCAGTTATGATTTACTATTGACTAAAAGTCTATGGACAGAGGGCGTACTGTATTTCTAAGCTCGGCGTCTGGAGACACGGCACTTGGTCACAATTTTTGGCAAACTAGCGTTATCTTAGCGTATTCTAGCACATTGATCTAATTGAATTTTCAGAGAAATTTACGACTACACTCTTACTAACTTCCCCTAGCCTGGCCTAGGTAAATCCAGCCAAATATGTCATAGCAAACTTTAAGCAAGTGCTACAAAATTAATAGATTAATGAAAACAAAAAGTAGTATCCATTCATGCAAATAAAATTTTGGATATTGAATACTATAATCTTCAGGTTCTCAATGACCAGAGTATTCGATTACTTTTTTGAATTTATTTGTGGATATTCAAGTAAAGTATTAATTTAAGTGGAACCGTATGTGCGAAGTCATCTATGAAGGGCAAGACGAAGAGATCTAGAGAGACAATTTTTTTGCGGAGAGAGATGTATTCGTTTCTTTATTCCATTTACATCCTGTCTAAGTCTAAGACTATTGTAGGATGGTAGAGGGATCTATGAATTTAGCTGATTCTAGGAAAAATATGAGTCCCGTTTAAGCATAATTGCAGATATAACGGAATAATTTGATGTTTAGGCGAATTTTGGAATGACTTATCTGGCTGGAATTATTTAAAATCGGTGGTTCTCACGCCGCATTAACTTATTCATTTGATTTTTGGATTCTGACGTTTGGATAACGCTTTGTCCGAATATAAGATAGATAGCTATTCCATAGTATCAACATAACATGGTTAGATTAGATTCTTATTATAGCCCCTACTGAGTCTAAGACCGTGGAGGACTTCGTGAATCTAACTAAAGTTTCTAATTACACTTGACAAGTTTAATTTTTGAAATATGCCAAATTTGTTCTTGTAGATATTGAGGATCAAGCCCTGTTACATAACACGGTGTATGTATGTGAATGAGAATTAACTCCAATTTTGTCTGAAAATTCTCTTGAATCGATTACTGCGGTACTCTCATCGCTTTAATTATATTAATTAACTCCGAGTGTATAATATTTGTCATACCAACAGCGATATACTCTCTAGGAGCATGTGATGGATACTATGACTACGGTCGTATAAGTGCAGATTATCCTCTCTTCTGTACTAGGCCCACTCAACTCATCGCCCGTTTGTGTGTTTGTATTTTATTGTGCTACTTGAGTCTATGAAAATCTAGCACATTGGTCATCTCTGGCCCAGACCACACCTTGCGCAGTGGTTCTAGCCTCCTTCGATAGTTAGAAGATCTCTAATATATTGGCCGTGATGAATAGCCATTCAGCTCCGTACCTATCCGTGGAATTCAGCCGCTTTTTGGACGGGACCGTCTGTCCCAAGAAACGGTAGCAATGGAATCTCAGAAAACCTGCAGGCCCAGCCAGGCGAGGCCTAGACACCGGGACCACATGAGGTGCGCATATTCATCTATATCTCCCTTCTTTGTAACAGTCGAGGTCGACTTGATCCAATCCACCATCTCCGTATCGGGAGCTGGGTTGGCTCTAGAAACTCATCGGGTAGCTTCTCCTCCGTGATCAAAGGTTGGTGATGAGTAGGACTTCGACGCTAACATCTGATCTGATCTTATTTAGCTTCATGATAATGATATCAGTGAGTTATGCCGGGTGATGAAGACGACACCGATCGCGGGAGCGATAGTGACGACTTGAGTTAAAAACCAACAACCCACCTCTGAAATGAATCGGTGGACTTGAGCAATCTTCCATTTTATTACTTGCGGGAAATATAAATTAAATCTCATCTCAACTTGAGACTTAGATAGCGTAAGAAGGTGAAAGATTTAAGTAAACTCCTAGCGTTCAATTGTTGCAGCCTACTAGAAACTTGATTTGATATTTAATTTCCCAAATAAGCAGGTGTATAAGTTCAGATACGTAGCTCATATTTGCCTACAAGCTAAGAGTATCTATTACTCCAGTGGTATATTCCATCCAAACTCTTACTCGCAGGCTTTTATTGGGATACATACTCGTAAGAACGCTTATCTCCTCTATCTTCTCCTTCCAGCTAACCATGCGGAACTCATTCGCGCCTTTAGGCAGATTTTAAATTGAATTAAAATGCCAGAAAAGTCCTCACATAGAGCGTTTGAGCTAAATCAGCATGGCCTACCTTCTTTGTATTATCATGGCTGGTGTAAGTCGCCGTGGAATCTTTGATAATAATAGCTTTCACGGCTAATGTTATACCCAGTCTCAATCTTTTAGACTCTACAAAGCAGGAGTTCCTTAGCCATAACTGCTGACAATAGGTAGCTCTTCGCCTTTTGTTATCTCTGATTACTTCTTGGAAATATAGGATGTACTGAGAATTGTTCAGTCTTATTTATTCTTTAATTACTTCACGTCGTGCCGACACACAACACTTGACTTTGAGGACAAACTGACGGTTAGCTCAGTCTAAATAGACTGCCTGAGTTACTAACGCCCAAAAAAGAGCCCATACAGTTATAACCCGAGGCCCAGCTACTGCTCAGCGCCCCAGAAAGTTATGAGAATGTTTAAGGATCAACGGCCTCAGCCGGCCTTCTAGGTGGTACCCATCTAATATTGAGTCCTCTATTCCAGTCACTTCCAAAACTTCCATAGTCAAGCACCTCTTAAATCTTTTCTCGCGAGCATTAATTAGTTCCTTAAACAATCATAATATGCAGTGCAAGTTTTGTGTCCTCCGCTAATTCCCCGTCGACAATAGCATTGGTAGAGAGAACCGTGAGCTTTATTCCGGCCTTTTCAGTGTTATATTGGGATTTCAAAATTGTTTAGTATATCGAGGGGGAGTGCGATATTTAGCTTGAAATAGCATGGCTTTGATTGGTGTTGATAATTTTCTTCGTGACTTGTCTAGTCACTAGATCTGAAGATTCCGTGAGTTCCGACCAAAATCAGCCCATCACCGCTCCTTCTGATAAGAAAGTTAGACAGGAAGATATCAACTTGACCGTTGGGACATGGTCGTCTCTCGCCTCTGAGAGAATATTGCACTTTCAGGTTGTTATAGGACACCATAGATAGATGCTCTATTTATTTATTTACATTAACGTCGTGCCCGCGCATAGTATGTGAGCTCTTCACGTACCGGTTAGGCTAGTCTAAATAAAACTACCCGAAGTGTTGGCACCTACACAGATCCGGAGGGCGAAGGCTTAACACCTGTCAGTGGTGTCCTCTACGAACCTGGGAGTGAAATATTCTCCCAGAGCCGAGATTCAGTCACGAAAAAGGGTGGGATGAATTTTTTTTGATAGATTTTCGACTTGAAGGAGTTTCACTCGATATTTTGGTCGAAAAATCAGTCGACAGAGATTTAACAGCTGCAACAAAGTCGATTAAAAACTCATCACCACCAACATACGATTCACGAATGGATTTAGGTCTGTCTGGGGGTCGTATTCAAACATCCGACATCTCTCAAACTCCTTTTATATTTGCGACGATCCATTTCTCAGCTGATTCTGCACCTGCGACCCACTTCCATACTCGTCCGATCACCGACCTACACCCGCCCTAATGAGGAAAGTCATGATGGAAACAGGACATGTACAAAGAAGGAAGAAAAGGGAAGATACACCGAGGGGATTATGCAAATCTTCAGCAACGACGAAAACCCGATGGTACGATATGAAGGTGCAAGGCTAGAGCAACAATGAGATCTAGGACTACATTTGTATTTCGGAGCCAATGAAGATATCAAGGGCTCGGGCGCGTGGCGGCCGAGGCTGAGGAGGAATTTGCGCCATGGCGTGTCGACAGGGGGTTTCTAGACGGTTAGGCTTGGTATGATTCAACACATAGGTGAAGTCTGAGGTGATCCGGTCATTGAATTGGGACAAGGTATATCTGTACTTCGCGATAGTTAACCTGATCCGGCCCGGGCCCACTCGTGCTTAAGCTCCAGTAGGAGTGCGACGGTAGTCACTTAACCTAGCACGTTAATGAACAAAAAAGAAATATTGACATATCTCGCTTATTAGTTGGACTTAACAGAAGATAATCAAAAATTACAAGAGGGACTCTACCTCGGCAATGGAATTTACCTTACTTCTAAAATCCATCGGGTTGGTGTAGAACTAGTATCATCTTATTTCTTAACAACTTTCATTTTTAATAGTAGTAAAAAGCACATATTGCCGTGTAAATTTTTTCATAACTGTATTCACCGAAATCCCTAAATTTCTTTTTTAGTTCAATAAATTTATAAAGTCTTGCTAGAAAATAATATTACGGAAGCACCGATTTGCTCCAGGTCAGTACGAGAAAAGTGGTGTAATATAGAGACTCATATCCTAGCCTCGAGCAGTGAGATCTCGCTAAAGCAAGGCGGCGTTTAAATGATGAGCTGAGTCAGTATTTTGTCCTAAAGCTAGTCTATCTAATAAAAATTTGTTCTCTCTTTTTTGATGGGCCTTTCTATATTGTCATCAGTCTTGAACTTAGAATTGGATGATCTTGGATGCATCTGTTCATCTAAATTCATATTCACGTCGTAGGATGATTTTGAATCCCGCGTTCGAGCAGCTGAACCTATACTTCTTTCGTATTGCCCCTTTATTTCACGGTGTGCCATGTCAAACGAGTTTCGAGGTGTTTCATAGGCTCTATTTTTCATGTCATGTAGGCTCGCTGCCTTCTTCAGAGGCGAATTTGAGTGACTATATATTCCCAGGGATCCTCCTGTGCCTATATTAGCGCCTGTAGACAAGGTCGACGAATTCACTAGGCTGCATCGAAGTTGGGATTGTTTTGAATTATTTCGAGATGTGAGACCAAAAAACGGTGTCGGGCTCTGTGAGTTGCGTGATATTGGCGTGAGATCCGATTTCAATGAATCATTCCCCAGGTTTTCTGGGTCATAATATTTAGCATAGTTAGGATTTGGCCTGGTTTGAAAGGCTCGTTTCAGGATAACAGTAGGTTTAAATGTAACCACACAATTCTTTCGTCCAGATTGCACTCTCGATCCTTCGTCATCATATTGTGTGCTGACATCACGAACTGTTGGATACATTCGAGGATGTACAAACTTAATATCATACTCACTCATAACCTCTTGGTGAATTATTGAGGAGTCTTTTGATTGTTGGGAAAAGTTTGCCTGGAGAATCAGAAGCTGTACTGAAATAAGGGCCTGCAAAATTATCGTCTTCAATACTGTGATGCTAGGCCGGGGATCATAATGTCCAGTGGGAAGAAAAAGCCAATATACTAGGACATGTCCCGGACTAAATAGGCAGAATAGTCGCAGACAAAATGGTAATGGATCCCAGACTGAAATTTCCCAGACATCACGCGTCGGATCTGGGTGGGCTCGGGCTTCGGCGCTCGCATCATGGAGAATGTTATGAAGTACACGTAGCGGAGAAGAGGACATAGGAGACGAGTTGACTCGGACGCGGCGTGCAGATGATGTTTGAGGTGGCACATCGATACAACTTTCAAAGAGTCGATACTGTCGTTTACGAAAAAGCGTGTACACAGCATTCGTTAAACAAACAGTGCTCAGCAGATATACAGTTAATGAAGCCTACAATATGATCAGAAATATTCTATATTGAGTAATTGTAATCCTACTAACCAGCCAGCCAACCCATCTGAAACTGGGGTTCTCGTCGCCGAACACATCATCTGGTGAGCCCTGAGAAGTCCCGACATTGATTTTCGCAAAGAGAAGTAGTATGTGAAATAGCAAAGCCGATGTATTCCCAAGCTGCTTGTTATCCCAGTCCTTGGTTTCAAGCTCTTCTGAAATCCAGAGTAACCAATCTCCCGGATGAAGGTAATCTTTTATACGCACTAGGAGCGGTCTTCTGCGTATAAGTCTGGGCATAATGGACTCAGCTTCAGCTTGGACCTCACATGATTATATATCAAGATATTGGAGTTTGCGTGTGTTAGGGTAGCCTTTAGAGTCGAGCAGGATTCATCGAACCCAATGAACACCTATGAGTGAGATCCCGTCATGTCATGTGACTAGACAAAGTCTTTCTTTAGAAATTGTCGCCACAACGAAACATCTTCAGTACTTTGCCTTCCGTCTCCTCTCGGATACATCCACAGCGTCTAGTCCCACAAAAATCTTCCAATTTCGAAAACTCGCTGTGAGCTGGAAAAGGAGTCTAAAAGGCCAAAAATTGACGGCTGGGGAAGCAGCTGTTTTCTGGCGCCTAGGCCACACAGGTATCATTGGTAACGAAGCAGCACGTGCGTCTCCAACTCCACATTCAGAACTTTCCATTGCTAGAGCAATGAGGAAGATCAAGGTCTAATATGAGGCCTCTGCCGCACTCTACTGGGCTGAAAACTTATCATCTCGATACAAAGAGCTAGGAACTGGATCGAATCCCTATATTACTGTTGAGCTCACCCATCTTGGACGACGCAAACTCGGATATCTGCTAGCTGCAAGATCTGGACACGGCAACTTTGCAGGGTACCATCGACGGTTTCAGCACGAAAACTTCACTCTAACCTGTTCATGTTGACAGGAGAAATCACCCGATCACTTCTTCTACTCTATCGGGCAGTACCGCAATAGGCTACAGAAGACCCAGAATTTTACTCCCAACATACCTTGGGCTCTGGATTCATTTAAGAGAGTTCATGCCTTTGATAGCTGGGCGTGCACGACAGACCTTTTTATAGAGACACAACAGTAAGCCTGACTAGACTTGAGCCACAAAACAGAAAGCTAGAGAGCCTCAGATTGATAAAGATACATTCTCTTTTTTTTACGTTTTACTCCAAGTACTATCTGTAAATTATGCGGTCCGGCATGAGGCTGACCTTCATATATATCTGAATCTTCGAGTGGAGGATAATTAGATCCTGGCCTTCTATTGCTATTTTGGATCTGTGAAGGTTTTTGTTTTGTTCATTAACGTGCTAGGTTAAGTGACTACCGTCGCACTCCTACTGGAGCTTAAGCACGAGTGGGCCCGGGCCGGATCAGGTTAACTATCGCGAAGTACAGATATACCTTGTCCCAATTCAATGACCGGATCACCTCAGACTTCACCTATGTGTTGAATCATACCAAGCCTAACCGTCTAGAAACCCCCTGTCGACACGCCATGGCGCAAATTCCTCCTCAGCCTCGGCCGCCACGCGCCCGAGCCCTTGATATCTTCATTGGCTCCGAAATACAAATGTAGTCCTAGATCTCATTGTTGCTCTAGCCTTGCACCTTCATATCGTACCATCGGGTTTTCGTCGTTGCTGAAGATTTGCATAATCCCCTCGGTGTATCTTCCCTTTTCTTCCTTCTTTGTACACGTCCTGTTTCCATCATGACTTTCCTCATTAGGGCGGGTGTAGGTCGGTGATCGGACGAGTATGGAAGTGGGTCGCAGGTGCAGAATCAGCTGAGAAATGGATCGTCGCAAATATAAAAGGAGTTTGAGAGATGTCGGATGTTTGAATACGACCCCCAGATAGACCTAAATCCATTCGTGAATCGTATGTTGGTGGTGAAGAGTTTTTAATCGACTTTGTTGCAGCTGTGAAATCTCTGTCGACTGATTTTTCGACCAAAATATCGAGTGAAACTCCTTCAAGTCGAAAATCTATCAAAAAAAATTCATCCCACCCTTTTTCGTGACTGAATCTCGGCTCTGGGAGAATATTTCACTCCCAGGTTCGTAGAGGACACCACTGACAGGTGTTCAGTCTTCGCCCTCCATATGTCAATAATTATTGCTTTTGGCGATATATCCCGCAGTTTCCGAGATAAATTATTTGCGGATTGCTTTGCTATCTGAGTGAACCAGATCCTTATTACCAATTTTTGGCTCTCAACAGCTTCTGAAATTTTTTGAGTTAAACTTCTTGTGCACATGGCTGATACAGGGTAGTAGAGCTTCGCCAAAGTGGTTTCTACTACTTCATGCTTGAAAAGGTGATCAATTGGATAAATGGATTACATTGGACGAGCTACATAGAATCGCACGCAGGATAATTCCTCATCGGATTATTAGTTTTACTAGCTATCACATGTTTTTCATTTTTCATCCATAATAATGCACGCCAAGTTTGACTCTTAGCTGCGTCAACTTTTTGTTGTGGGTTTTATTTTTTTGTTGAGTCTATGACAACACATGGAAATTTGGGTCCTTTTTATATACAGGTCAAGAGTTTTTATGACTTAGATATTGTACTCTATCCTACCTCTCCTTCACTACTTCTTTCCATTAGTAATACCCCCATTGTTCTACATTTGAGTAGATTCTAAGTGGAGCCGTTATCTCGTCACAATCTCCACTTGATTAAACGAAGGCCATTTACGGGAGCGTAGCTGCAGAGAAGTTTCAAGAACCACTAATTGTAGGGCTCTAATAATATCGATAGTAGGACTAAATCCAAAGAAATAGCCATCCTTTCGAAGCGTTCGAAGAGGCCGGTCAGTCGAGAGCAGCAGACCTGTGTATAACTCAGAGCATGTCTCAAACTTCCTAGCCTCTTCCTTACTTCTCACTTGATTCGTGCCAGAGAACAAACCGAAGCTCGTGAAAGGATATCAGAAAAGTCTTGGTCGAGAGTGATTGCCATGAAGGAGCCTAGCTGAGCATCTAAAATTCGTTACGGACGTGGGGTCGTCGGGTAACTCATGTATTTCAGATGTCCTTGTTGGTAAAACACGAAGTAATACAAATTGGATGCCGTCACGAAGTCGGTAAATTATGTCAATTAACTGGTATCTCGAAATACATAAAACGTTGTCTCTCTCTCCTTCTCCCTTCATCTCCCCTTCCTTCCTCTACTCCAAGCGCCTCGCTAATGAGCTAAATCAGATCCCTGTCAGTGTCCTAACAACAACCTGAATACCGCAATAAGGTAGAACAATTCATACTGCCCAAATATGATGCTTTTACCGACAGTCCTCCTTGCTAGTAAATTCGGGATTATAGGCTAGAAGAAACGATATCATTGACTAGTCGACATATGCTTTTCTCGAAGGCGGTAGGGTCTTGTACTTTGCTTTCTTGTTTGTCTGACAGTGGATATCAAAAGTTATGGTCTAGTGAGTACTTCTCTGACTATTGTTGTAGCGTTTGGTACCGCATTATCTTTCCTCATTCCCAGCATCATTATCTTCACCTTGATCGTCTTGTGAGTAATCGGAGGCGTCTCTTTGATGGAGGAGCAGATAACTCAGCTCAAAGTTAAAAGGTGTGACGGAAACCGAGTTGGTTGTGAATAAATCGATTTATTAAACTATATGAGGAGAAAAGAGAACTCTAGCTACGACTAACAGGTATTTATAAGAATTGGTCCCCTTCGTCAATCTCCAGACTGATGACTTATCCTTAGGCACAATACTTGCTTCCCAGCCACGCATTGACAGGTGTTAGTTGTAGTAACGCTTCGACCTCCTGACTAGTAGTGCCGCCTAGTTGTAAATATCCCCAACAATCCGCTTAGGTATTCACCTAAGCTCTAACAGCGGTCAAACCGTAACAAAAGGGCTTACTCAATCTCGGCTATGTAGACTTTACAGAAAGAGCTGGAGGTTTGCAGGGGACAACGCTTACAGGTGTTGAATTTTGTCTCCTTGATACCTGTATTTAGAAGAGTAGTCCAATTCACATCCTATTATCCTTCATAATCCTGCATGTCCTATATAGTCATAGAACGAGAAAGGACAATCATTTTAAATAATAATTCCTTCATGATTGCGTAAACTTCTGTGCACCAACGACTTCCACAAACTGGGTAGTGCATCATATTCCAATACTATGATATATGCCATCTTGGATTCCTTTGTTATTGCACAATACAGTTATATTCTCTGCATGTCAGAAAGTAGTCCAACTTGCTTTGCACTAAGCGTGGTGCATCTCTCTGTTGCTGAGTCATTGTCTTGATGACTCAGCCAATACTACAAACTACACGTTTGGAATGTTCTTAGATAGAAAGAAGATACCATATATACCTCACTTTTGTACTTTTTGTTTTGCATTAAAATAACCTTATATATACTTAAATTAAGGCCAACCGACACTACCTTTTTTTAACTGGCCCATGAGCCAGCGTTAAAGGTGAATGGCTGAATTACTCGGGCTCAAAACTTTCACATCAAGTTCTGGACACCTACTAAAGGGGCTGATTCTATCATCAAATCTTTGGTGCATGAGCAAATGGATGCGTGTCTCCTTGTGGCTGCTTCTGGTCACTCTTTGTGAGACGAAATTCAGAGACAACTCCAATATTCGGGTTCTTTACCTAAGACTAGTCAGAGCTTTATCTCACGACCTCCTGTTTATCTTTTGAAGGAACATAGATTCAAGGTAACGACTGCCTGTTGTGATATCGCTCGTCAATGACCGGCCCAGCGTCGACAGGTGCATATGCACGTCGTGCGCTGACCATGGATACAACTGCTGTCGCTCCTGAGTAGTGGACTCGTGAGTGCCGGGCTGATTCATTGCAGGGCAATGATTGGGGCAGCGTCGTGATGAGTCTATTGACCACACACGCTAGCCATGAGCAGTTAGGTATCGTCGGGCAATTACGAGATAGCGCTCGGAGGTACATGCAGACCTAGTGCACTATCGGAACTATACAACTGCTTCCGCCCCTGAGTAAAAGACTAAGGACTGCGGAACTGAGACATTGTATGGGAACAATTAGAGCGACGCTGTGGTGTGTATACAAACCACAGGCGCGAACCATGGACTGGATTGCTGTCGTTCCTGAATAGCTATTACGACCGACCTCAGGTTGACACTAGAAGACTCCCTCGAAATATAAAAGAGTAATTGCTTTGTATTTGGACCTAAAGCTACGCACGATAACTAAAACAAAAGACAAGGAGAGAAAGAGGTCTGCAGC